CCCCCGGATGAATTTCGTGCACCGGGCCTCTAGTTATGGAAATAATAAACGTACACAAGAGAGACTAAAATTAAGAACGCCCTCATGTACCTGCCCATCCATTGTCCAGCTTCAGTTATTACCCAAGTGCAGCCCTTCTTGTTTCATCTCCCCACCCAGCATCCTTTTGTTCATTTTAGCTGGAGTATTTTAAAGCAAATCTCAGAGAACATGTCAGTTTACATGTAAACACCTCAGTATATATCTTTTTATCAGATAAAGGACTTTTTAAAAAAATACATATTTTACTGATTTTTTACAGAGAGGAGGGGAGAGGGATAGAGAGTAAGAAACATCGATGAGAGAGAAACATCCATCAGCTGCCTCCTGCACACCTCCTACTGGGGATGTGCCCGCAACCAAGGTACATGCCCTTGACCGGAATTGAACCTGGGACCTTTCAGTCCGCAGGCCGACGCTCTATCCACTGAGCCAAACCAGTTAGGGCAGGACTTTTTTTTTTAATATGACCACATCATTATCATACCCAAGAAAATTGAAAATAATTCCTTAATATTACCTAAAATTCAGCCTATATTCCGTTTTCACTGATTATTTCAAAAAAGTATAGTCACAATTTTTGAAAACTTAATAAAAGTAGTTTTATTATTGTAATATTTTACAGTTTTAAAAATTTGTTTTATTATTGATTGATTTTTTAGAGAGAGGCAGAGATAGATTTATTGTTCCACTTATTGATGCATTCATTAGTTGCTACTTGTATGTGCCCTGACTGGAGATCCAACCCACAATGTCAGCATTTGGGGACGGACGGCACTCTAACCAGCTGAGCTACCTGGCCAGGGCTGCAGTACTTTACAGTTTACCAGTGGATTCACACATCATCTTGCTCCCTTTAGAAATGTCACCTCTTATTTTAGCTTCTTCATCAGAGACCTCAAGAAATGGTTAGCAAAAGACATATCAGTTTGGGTACTTGTTAGTAAGGCATTGACTAAGGAACCAGATGTGAGGTTTAATAAACTTGTTAATCATTTTACTTTTTTAATGGCAGCTAGTTAATGGTTTCGATTTAAGAACACATTAAAATATTTATTAATTCACTTTAACTTCTTAATAGCCTGTTGCTTCCTTCAAGGGCTATACAAATAATCAACCTTTTCACCGTTGCTCTGAGAGAGGTACAAGATACCTTAACCCTAGTTGCCTTGTTATTAAATGTTTCTGTGTTCATAGATCTTTGCTGTATCTGTATCTTGCTCACTGACTTCATGAGAAAGTTATTCAGATACTCATGTGTTAATACGTCAATCATCTTTCTTGTTCTTTATAATGTATGTGGCTTTGTATGTATGTAGTGTGTGTGTGTGTGTGTGTGTATGTGTATATATATAGAGAGAGAGAGAGAGATAGAATGGTTAAGTCAAGAATACTTTAGAATGTTTTTTTCTGTTTTTGTTTTGTTTTTTAATTTAATTTAATTTTATTATTTTTTTTATTTTATTGCTTAAAGTATTACAAAGGGTATTACAGATGTCTCCTTTTTCCCCCAGCCCTTGACAATCTCCTGGCCTCCCCTACCCCCCAGTGTCTTATGTCCATTGGTTATGCTTATATGCATGCATATAAGTCCTTCGGTTGATCTCTTACCTCACACTTCTGCCCCCCTACTCTCCCCGGCCTTCCCGCTGCAGTTTGACAATCTGTTTGAGGCAGCTCTGCCTCTGTATCTATTTTTGTTCATAAGTTTATAATGATCTTTATTATCCATGAATGAGTGAGATCATGTGGTAATTTTCCTTCATTGACTGGCTTATTTCACTTAGCATAATGCTCTCCAGTTCCATCCATGCCGTTGCAAATGGAAGAGTTCCTTCTTTTTTATAGCAGCA